CCCGTGCTACCTTCAGTGTTACCTCCGTTGTCACCGCCAGTGTTGCCCCCCTCGTCACCGCCAATGTCGCCGCCAGTGTCTCCTCCCTTGTCACCGCCAGTGTTGCCTCCGTTGTCACCGCCGTTGTCAGGCTCGGCCATTTCAAGCGAACCACACTCCGAGTCGTCCTCGGCCATGTCGAGGGAGCCACACTCCGAGTCGTCTTCAGCCATCTCCAAGGAGCCACACTCCGAGTCACCTTCGCCACCGATCTCCGCTTCGCCGCCAATTTCTCCTTGCTGTACGCTGTCTCCTGTGTTCTCGCCGCCAGATTCCTTCTTGTCTCCGCCGTTGTCGCCGCCCGACTCCTTGTTGTCTCCACCAGACTTTTTGTTGTCTCCACCATTGTCGCCACCTTGCTGCTTGTTGTCTCCGCCCTTATCGCCGCCCGAATCTATGTTGTCACCGCCGACTTCTTTGTTGTCACCGCCGACTTCTTTGTTGTCACCACCGGATTCCTTTTTGTCTCCGCCCGACTCCTTGTTGTCGCCGCCGTTGTCACCACCGCCGTTGTCGCCACTAGACTGCTTGTTGTCTCCGCCGTTATCTCCCCCGGACTCCTTGTTATCGCCTCCGGACTCCTTGTTGTCTCCGCCGGACTCCTTGTTGTCACCCGTGTTCGAGCCGCCACCCCAGTTGTTCGTGCCACCGCCCGAGTTCCACTGGTTGTTAGACGATCCACCAGTGTTTGTGCTGGGGGCTTGCGTCCAGGTGTTGCCACCGGTATCACCGCCCTTATCACCGCCAGTGTCAGTGCTGGGGGCTTGTGTCCAGGTGTTGCCTCCGGTATCACCGCCCTTATCACCGCCCGTGTCGCCTCCAATGTCGCCGCCATTGTCAGGCTCTGCCATCTCGAGAGATCCGCACTCCGAATCGTCCTCGGCCATTTCGAGCGAGCCACATTCGGAGTCGTCCTCAGCCATTTCTAGCGAGCCGCACTCCGAGTCGTCGGCCATTTCCTCTTCTGCAACTTCCTCTACTTGGAGTCGCAGCATGCGCTTCACCTCATACGTGGACTGGGTCGCCACGGCCGCGCCAGTGTATCCCTCCACACTCACGGCCAGTGCCACTGCCACGGCGGTCACGAACAAGCTTTTCTTGAACGAGTTAATCATCGCTCGCTTCCAAAGCAACAAAAAACAATAAACAGTTAAGCTTGAAAGCGAAGCAAGTTCACAAATGAACACGCTGGAGCTGAATCGTACAATAAAACCACGAAGGAACATCTCACTGTACCTAACTATCGAGATTAGTACGGCGATGCGAACGAGAGCAAATCTTCCTTTCTATCGGAGACTCCTTTGCTTTTATCTTGGTGCTCGACTGTCTTTCCCGGGATCATACTGAATGTCATACAAAATAACTGCGACCATGCGATACAAGTGCCGGAATGGAAAGCACTGATGGGATGTGGAGAAAACGAGAGGCTGAGCTTCGCGATCGCAACTGTAAGCTGCGAACAGCAAAGGCGTTTGGAGGCACAACTCCCACAGTTCGTACACACCACCTGGTGCGCGAAAATCCTTTACATTTGCCAATGACGGGTAGGGCTACTCGCTGAGTATTTCAAGGTGGACAAATTCGTCTAGGTTAAAAACAACAATGATACAATCGAGAATAAGGGTAAGTTTTATCATGCGCACCCGTAAACTTAAATGTCCTCAATAAGAATTTGTCCAGCCAGGAACTATTAACACTATTAATACCACGCTTTTTATTCTTTCGTAAAGGTGGCGATTGGTCTGATTTGTACAGTAGCGACCGTCTCGGTTCAAGTTTCAAAACAAGATGTTTCATTACTGTGCGAGCGTCGATCGACATCCGGTACCCCTGTAGAATGTGGACAGTCTGGTGTCCCATTCTGCACGATCTTTCGCCGATTTTACTTTAATGCTACAAAGTATAATAAGTTCTGTATTATCATAATACCGGTAGATGGCTACCGTACCGTCTTGCCAGCGGAACGCTGTACCAAATACATAAAATGTTTGGAAAACGGAAGTTTACGGAAACGGGTGTACTGCACCCGTTTCCAAATATTTGATAAACTTCCGGATTTAATAATCCTACATAACATTAAAATGTAGGTGAGTATTTTGCCCGACTGGCTAACCGAGTGTACCTATACTCCCCAACATGCATAAACTAATTCTAGCCGACGGTCTTGGCATTAAATTCGTATCCCTGACACTGCGCCTTGCCGAGTCGAGGACTTCGAGGCCGGGGTGGGCCAGGCCGCACAGCGGCGCCACCCGAGCGCAGCGCAGGAGGCGAAGAGAGGGGCGTATAAGTCCGCAGACGAGTGCAAACGCGCTAGTGTCCACCTTTACTCCAATTTAACTTTACAGTACTAAACTATATGTACTAAAATTCGATGCTATGTTACCTCAGTCGGACAAAACAACGAGTGCCGATTAAAGTAAATTAATTTTTTTATCTAAATTGTTTTTTTTAATCCTATATTGTCCACCACCATGGAATCTGCGTCCAGCACAAAACTTAGCTGAGGAGTTTTAATAGGAGTGCCGACAATTTGCGGGTTGGAACATGTTTGCAAAGCTTTTGTCGTATATCACTAGGGTGTGCTCAATTTATTATAAATCAAGGTCATTTTATATATTGAGGTTATAAAAAGGGAAAGATCGGGTGGGAGCTACGACAAGCTAAATCAAGCGCTGGTGGTCGATTTACGACTAATCGACATCGATTTATTTAAAACAACCCTTTTTACGGTTTTGAAACGCAAATCGACTTGTCAGCAGTGCATTGTATCGTCTTAAAGTTTAAGACTTAAACACCAAGCGTCGCTTGGGTCCGTGTTCGCGCAAGTGTACTCCTTTTCCATTAGTATATGGAATAACAGTTATAGCTAATAGTGCCTTGTTGAGTACCACGCTAACATGTAAGTATGCAAATTTCGCGCTAAACCTGGAGCACTAAACATTTTTTTTTTAATTATTCGTTTCAATGGCGCGACCACCAATGCCTTGTCCACAGCGGCAACGGTTGCTTGGATTGATTCAGTCCACCACTACTTGAGTGTATCCAACTAACAGGTAAACGCCCCATACTAGTTGGCGCATTGAATCCAAGAAACAGCTAAACGATATGTTGTACGCCTCCACGGCGGTCGTTTGTAACGGGCTGAGGGTGATACTAAGTAAACTAGCTTCGCTATTAGGTCTAACAAATAACACAGCTCTCGTTCGACACACGTTTTAATAGAATTAAATTCGGCATGAGTGCAGATATTTTAATTCCAGGCATGCCTTTCCTTTCTCAGGTCTACGCCTGTTTTTATGCGCCAACCATGCTTGGCCATAAAACCGAGCGACATTTCATCTGCAGAGCACAATACTGCAGCACAGTTTAAAATAAGACGAAAATAGAATTGATTTATTACTTACCGGTATAGGTGTGTCAACTTGTCGCCGATGATAGTTAGTGTTAAAAAATAACTGCAAGCGGCTACATGTACCGGTATTGTCCAGGTAAGTTAGGTACAGGTTTTAAAAATAGTCTGTATTACTATAAGCAACATTTACCGCTCAAAGAAAACTCCCCTCTCAATACTTAAGTACTTTGTAAATTTAATATCTATTTTAGTATTCACCCTTTATAGTGATCAAATATTTGGTGATAGGACTTATTGTAGCCTGATAAACAAGAGAAAATGACGTGTGGGGAAGAGCTACATTGTACAGTCACCGCGCAGGCGCAATCACCTCTTCAAAATGCCCGTCGTTATTATTTGGAATAGCCCTTTAGTTTTTGAAATAGGTGAGACTGAAAATGCAGCCAAGTCCCCTGTGAATTATTACTTTCATTGAGAAATAAATCACACGATCACTTTTCAAAATTAAACTTATATCTAAGGACACAGCTGTGACAGTCTTTTTTTTTACTTAAATGTTTTGACTGCACATGTACGAAATGACAATGGTTTCTGGTGGATGTCAAAGAATTTCATTCTAAAGGGACGGTAATGGGCACAAGTTTATCTTTCCTTACAAATTCTAAGAAATAGTTTGTGTAGCTGCCGGAAGTTAGAGTGTACAGCTAATAGCACTCCGCAACTTTATTGAGACCGGATTTACGTCTCATCAAACGGGCGGCGGGGTATGCCAGGTATATCATCTTATCGAAGGCCTTGATATATCGGCCCTTATGGCAGTTTGGGTGGCGTCCACTGGGGAGGTATGTGGAAGCGACTATAATATGCGATTTAAACCCTTTGATATACGATGGTATATCGAGGGTTTCGTGAGCGTTAATTGCTATTTCCCTTTTTTATGTGTGTTGGTGAGAGCCTGTGGTTGGTTTGACTCGAATCATTGGTGCTAGTTTAACGAGGCACCAACAGGTGTACTAGTCACCAATGGGAGTCATAACAGATCGCGTTAGGGCATATATCCCAGCAATGCCGTCACGCGAACGACGCAAGACACAACCACTATTTTGAGTTTTAAGATACCTTCAACGAATTTAAAAGAATGTGGAAAGCATAATGTCGTATACCTCCTCTCGCTTCAAGGGTCGGGTAGTCCGCGGCTGTTCAGGGAGTACGGTCTTGTTTAGTGGCTGCAGGAACGGTAGATAGGAACGCTAGTAAGATGAAAATAGAAGTTGTTTATTGGCTTGGCTTCCTCTTGGGTAGAAGGAGGGAAATATAAGACTGAGAGCTAACTGGTAGAGAGGTCTAACACCTTCTCGACCATACATACACTACACTACTTCTCTTATACTAAAAAAAAAATTCACTTCGTTTGTCGACAGTCCTGGTGGGACAACGGGGAGTTCTGGGAAGGGGCTCGATGACGCGAGGTGCTTTGGTACCACGACGCCAAGACACCGGCGTTCTGAGACCACCTTATAGGACCACCCTAACGGGCTCGGTCAGGGCACGTGCGTCGTCGGAGTCAACGGGAACCATCCTGACGGGACGGCCGGGCGAGGAGTAACTACAGGGCCTCGGGTCATCCCGCCGGGAGGTACGGCTCCTGGAATGACCCCTTCGTTCCCGGGTACGGGACATCCTCCCCGACTTGTCGTTTGCCGTCCTCGGCGAACATATCCACCGCGTACACTCCGCATGTTAGCCATATTTACTCCGTCGTCAGTAGCATCAACCGGCAGGTGAGGCTGGAACGCCTCAGGGTAGTCCTCGGTGCAGTCCTCTATGTAGTCAGGGTCGACTGCCTGAAAGTCATATAACACTTCGATGTCGTCGTCGACCCGCAGACGCTCGATGTTCTGAGCTTCGGCCATACTACGCTTCGAAGCGTTTCGACGAGTACTTGTTAAAGCTAGTTCAACTAGTACTTTAGGAGAGACGGCTCGTAGAGGGCTTCCCTCGTCGTATTGACGGCAAGCGTGGGATACCACACCGGCGACCACCACGATAAGAGTGTCGGCGATACTCCAGCCGGTCCACTCGATGCAGTAGTTGGAAGCCAGTAGGAACAACAGTACAGCCCCAACACCCACAGGTCCCAGGAGTACGAATTCCACCAGATCAAACACGTTGACGGGGACGTATAGCAGAGGGAAAGGCAAGGTAGTACCAGACAGCAGGCGGCTTCTCCTACAGCGTACAGGCGCATCCAGGTGGCCTTGAAAGCGTCCCAGGCAGCGTACCAATAGCGTATGCTCGAGTCCCTTGTACGGAGGAGGACTTCCGGGATGTAGTCGGAGAAAGTCACCTTGCCGGCGATCCACCAAGTCCACAACATCCGTCCATAGCGACCATACTTATCTTCTTCTTTGAGCAGAACGATAGGAGGCACAGCGAATAGCGCACTCCATACTCCATACGCGTAGGTAGCCCCTCGGAGTTGTCGAAGCTCGCTTGCTTGAAGCACGTCCCGGTACAACGAGGCACAGTCGCCCCAAATATCGCAGTTCATCTTGCCCACACGCCATACTTGGATCAAGAACTCCCAGGTAGCGTTGCGCAGAGGAGTCGTTAGGACCCAGACCATTACGGCGCCTACGTACACAGGCCACAGCTCCCAGCGGGCGTACTCGTAGAAAACGCTAGCGTGAGGTTCCAGTTAGATGAGAGAGCACTCGGCAAAAAGAAACTGAGTACACCCGAGGTGAACCTTCTCGAAGC